TTGCAGTACGAGTCAGTTTGCCAGAATTTGAAATGTCAAATGAACACACGAGAAAGGTCATTTTCTAAATAATGCTCTTTGCTTTATTTGGTTTTTCAGGCTCAATTGGATTTGAACAAGAAGGAAACAGAGAGAACGTATACAGTCAGGCTGTTTCCAGCCTAACTGCACTCATGGCCGTCATAACCAGAGGCGCGCAGGCCAGACACAGATCACTGTTTGACTTTCCTCTACGCATCCACACCAGCAGCTCAGTTCCAAAAAGCGAACGAGGGTATTATTAATATAGGCTCCATAGGATCTCTATGTTTGTCCTCCAGTATATTGCAGACACGACCAAGCAGATGATTCCAGCACCAGGGAGCTGAAAAGCCCAAAGGGAAGATGGCTGCAATAACTGCCAGCCGTTATTTTTTTTCTCCAGCCCTCACACCCAACTGTGACGCTCTCCTCTGGCCATTCGTACGACAGAAGGGCCTCGGGGAAGACCGACCGGTCAGGGCACTAAGTCTGAAACACCCACTGTATCGTTTCATCAGCTGGACGTGTGGGAGTGGCCGGCCAGAGCCCGACATTTTTGAGCTTGTTGTGTTGGTCCAATAAGCTTGGCGTGAAGCCTTTCACAGACACCTGCTATATCCTTACTATTCCAGCTATGCTGATGCTCATATGCAGAGGTGGAAAGCTCAGGTCCAGAAAGTACAAATCCAGACCATGGTTTTGTGCCAACCAACCAGCTGAGTACTCTGTGACTGTGACTGTTTATACTCAACTGGTTGGCTGAAAAAACCATGGTCTGGATTTGTACTTTCTGTAGCGGAACTTTCCACCTCTGCTGAAATAAAAATAATGTCAGAAATAATTGGTTATAGTTGGATTTACTTTGTATTACTTTAAGGGCAAATCCAGTTCTAGCTTTTAATTTTATACATTAATCATTTTTTTTGTCAAAGACATTACGTCAGGGCCACCAATAACGAATTACGTTCAACATTCAAACAAATTCTGTTATGACGAAAACCCGTATACATCAGGAGTGCTGCAGAGCCAGGACAGTTGAAGAACGTGTATTGTACTTTGTTTTTAGTCAGAAATTGGTCTCTGGTTATGACGGCCTCGTATTCTGTGAGCCATACCTCCAGTCTTGTCTCTTTGGGCTGGAGGTAACAGCCTTAAAACAGTTTAAAGCTTTAAGAGTTTCACTTTCGTTTGAACACATTAAAGGAACCAGAAAGAAAAACAAAAAACATTAAAGCGTGAATTTTCTCATTGGCAGGAGCATCCATAATCTACAGTCTACTGTTTTCTGCTTTTCTAACCAGTGGGCATGGTAGGTAAGAATGTAGGGTTTAGGGTCCTACAACATAATGTAAAAACAGCTTATTCACTTACATACAGCCAAAGATTAGATGACAATAGATGACAGGAAACCCAATCAGTGCTTCCACCCTGATCATCAAGTATAAAGGGTTCGAAAGCACTACAGCAGTGCAAAATCAACGTGAGCACTACATCATATCTCCACAGTGTACAGTTATGGCTCAGGTTTTCCTTTATGGCTTGTAATTATAATGCAAGTTTGCAGCATTAGGTTTTTCTGAAGCATTACATTGTTGCATGGGCCTCCACACAGTGCTTTCCTGTCAAGAGAGACTAGGTCAGAGTTTTCACGAGTCACCTGACCTGTAAGTGTCCAATCATAAAACACTTCACCCACAAACCCATAAATTCATCATCTGTTGTACTCTGTTCCCTAGGACATACCCTATTCCATACCCACTGTATATTTCCTTATTTCTTTATGACATTCCTAAGAAGCATTATACACAATCCTTTCATTGCTACAGAGTTTTACAAAATGGGGAAATAAGGTAAATGAACAAGGAAAGGGAAAATCAGAAATAAAAAAGCAATAATTATAACATTAATAACAATAATAATAACATTTGTAAAAATGAACTTAATCACACATTTTGGCAAATTTTTCCCATACTCAGCAGGAAAAAAACTGTTCGGAAAAAAAACAAAAGAATTTATCGCATCAGTTCTGTAGCAAGAACAGCCAAAAGACACAGGATAAAATATCTCCCACACCACAACACACACATGAATTTTCTTTTGGTATAAAATTAGTCTCAGCTCTGCATGTAGTATAAAATGTGAATGGAAGCAGGGGCAATTGGACACTAATGAACAGCAGAGGCCCTTACAAACCTTGACGCCTGGCAGACACTGTTTTCCTGCCTCACCACAAAAAAAAACTCTTGTGCCTTTTTTTGTATCTATCTGTAGCACAATACAACTGGCACAATACTCAGTTTGGGGTAAAATGAGGAGATACACCACATACTGTTTTCATAGGTCAGCTGCCAGGAAGTGACACAATGCTCCCTCACACGTGTATAAAAATCATACTTGTACACACACGCATGTTCCTGTGCTTTGGTTGTGAGTAAGAGTCACACAAGGGAAAGACTACTAGTGTTAAAATATACAAGAAGTATTTGGTCATATTTACTAATTTTTAAAAGAGAGTTATTTGGCAACTTTCAAATCTACAGTTATAAAGACAAAGTCAGTTTTGTGTTTATGCTCGAAAATATGAAAATACTTTTGCTGTCATTAAAAAATTTAAAACACATATTTCAAGAAAAATGTTCACTGTTCCAGATCACAAGAGGTAAAAATGAAACAGACATATGCAAGAAATAAGTCTGTCTATTCCTTATTACTATTTGAATCCTGGTATTTTTACCTTTGGTTTACGGAGAGATCTTGCTTATTTAAAATCCTCTTAAAACAAGGAGCAAGGGAACTATCATTATTTTTGAGTGTTAAAAATGTTAGGAATGAAAACCATTTTAATTTTATGTCTTTGGATATCCTTGGGGTTTGGGTTTTCATTATTTCTGGAGAGTTAAGGAAAATTCTACAGTAAACTTACTGTTGCTTCTGGCTCATTAGGGAAACATACACATGAACCAAAATAAATCTACCACCCAGGAAATCTGCCATACAGTGTTTTATCTCCCCGTAGCGACCACATGCGCTTGTGACACCCAACAAGTAGAATAATAAGGGTAAATAAGAAGCGGATTTTGAGTTCAGTTGAGATGAGCTTCTAAATGTAGTCCTTTCAAGGACATATGAAACTGTTATTGATACTTCTGGAAATTTCAGAAAGAGATTAAAATCTTAGGAAAGAGGTTAACATCTTGCTAATTATACCAGGATGGAGAAGTGTATGTTTTTTTGAAAGGGAGTACAAACTTTCCGTTAAAAGCACTTTTTTTTGCACCAAAAAACTTCTTTGAGAGAAGTAAAGACAAACACGTAGGCACTGTTTCTTCTGCAGAACCAAGCAGGCTCCCCCTGATTCGAAGATGACAAGTCCTTGTTTCGTTACCTTCTGAAATAAGTGCCAGTGGCATTCTCTATGTCTAAATCGGGGGATTCTCATGAGTCACCATGCCTGGAGCACTGGGTCTCCGCAAGGCCTTCGGCAGGCTATGACAGCAGACAGGGCAGCCTAGTGCTGGCCCCATGACCTTCAACGGCATCCTGATGGCCACTGTCTCCATCACCCACCTGTGAAGTATCTGTCTACAGGGGACTGAGGTTGGACAAAGGCCACTCCATTTGTTCAGGTTAGGTTCTCAAAGGGTGCTGGACAGTCGCCTCCCAGTGGCCAACAGTGTGTATGGCGCATCCACAAACCGGAGGTCATGGAGGCCGAAGCTGAAGATGCCTTTCCAGGTTCAATCCTGGAAGCTATGCAGCAAAATCAACCTCCCAGATCAAACTGTGGCTCTAAAAGGCTGAGAGCACAAGGATGGTGAAGGAGGCGGAAGAGGGGTGTGGCTAAGGCACGGGGGCGAGCTTGCCATCGGTAAGTCACAGCTTTGCTGCTGGCGGCTGCCATCTTGGGGCTTCCTGAATGGAGGTGGTCGTAGCTGGCATGGGTCACTGGTCATCGTGCGCGGGGTGGAGAGGGGCAGGGGGAACACAGGGACGGGGGGTTTTAGCTGAGGTAGGGATCTCCTGAAAACGAGCAGCTGGCCGACGGCCATCTTAACGGCTCAGACGTTTTCGTCAGGCTGAGGTAGCTATCTTTGGAGGTATGGAATTTAGGGGGCGGGGAAAGAGGCGGGCCTGCTGCTTCTACAGCGACCCCATTCGCCTGTACACCAATCAGTCAGACTGTACGGTACTGCTCTTTATAAATTATGAAGCTTATACAACACATGACAAGACGTGAAGAATTCATCAAAAAGATGTTTAAAAATATTTGTAATTTAATTCTGTCAGACAGGGATCCTGTTCAGGATGTACCTCTCTTGTGCCTAGTGCTGTCTGGGATAGACTCAGGGCCTCAAGAGCACTGGCCAAGATAAACGGCTAGAGGATGCATAAATGGCTAGAGGATGCATAAATGGCTAGAGGATGCATAAACAGATGCAGGTATTCATCTATCGTATGTACAACAATCACCCTAAACTCAAACAGATGTTTTGAAAATGGGATCGTGCCTTTAAAATGTTGACAGCACAGCAGCAAAGGTACTCATGTTACCAAAAAGAGCCTTTTTGTAAGTGCACAATTTGGTTTTAGTAGATGCTTTGGTAATATTTACAGTGTATGTACTATATGACATGGTAGTAGAAAAAAACCCTTTGAAAATGGTGAAAAGGGGGTAAATAAATGTGAGTGTTCGGCGATTCCACATAAACTGCTCATCAACATGTACAGTAGATCCTTTGAATTTAAATGAATAAAACAAAAATACAAATGCTATCTTGCTTTGGTATAGTTAGAATGCGAATGATAGCCACTTAACCACAGAGAGTGAGAGTAAAATTCAGACGGCCTGGTTTCGAAAATACCCCCACGGGGGGGAAGGGGGCAGTGAGGTCACAGGTTTCTCAGTGGTGTCTGACTGACTGAGTACAGGCAAAGTAAGGAGCTGAGGCGAAGGTCGGCCCCCTGCTGGAGGTGGAGCATGCGGGGTGTTAGCCGGTGCCCGTGCCAGTCTGGCTTGATGGGTGCTGCTCGATGAGAACCTGGCATTGGGCTGGATGGCACTGCCTATCTCCACCCTGCACAAGAGAAACAAAGGGTGAGTATTTAGAGCCAGACAGAGTGTCGACACCCGGCAGTGTATCAGCGACCACTGGGGGGGGGGGGGTTAAACTAACAAGGAGTTTCTGTCTACATTGCTTTTCATACAGCATTAACTATTAACTGGCTTTGCTAAAATAAGGTTTTCATGATACATTGTAATTACTGATGAAGGTGCCGGGACTTGCAGTGTCGGCTGAATTCTCTCCTGCGTGGGGCTCACCTGAGGCACTAACTCAATGGCTTCCGGAGTCCGGGTGACCACCTCCTTCGGATCTCCACCTCTCTCTCCCTGATGGCCTCCTTCGCCTGCCTGAGGCACAGACCAGCTGTCCTGGGTTCCCTTCCTACAGAACAGACTGGAGGGGGGGGGGCAGGGATGCTGAGTCAGCCCCGTGGCTACAGCCCGCTTTACTCACATCTGATCAGGCTGTGCTCCAAGGCCTGTGTGCTATCAGGGTTGTATTTTATTATGAATATTCAGCATCACATCCATGGTGGACCTCAGCCTTGTGTCTCCTGCTGCCTCGGACTGGCTACAGACCCCCCAGTACCCTCACCTGGAAGGATATTACCCATAAGTACAAGAGCTCTTGTACATACCGTGTTGGGGAAGTTATTCACAAAAATAATCCGTGGAAAGTTCAGGTCAATCGGGTACGTGCGCTATATATAAATAAATTTATGTCCAGGTCACTTTCCCTAGATGAGGATGTAAGTCAATCTGGACGAATCTCGTTATCTCATTATAGGGGAGCAATCAGATAAACCGTACAACATAAGCAAAGGTGGACAGTTCAGGACCAGGAAGTAGAAATCCAGTCCAAGATTTTGTTCCAACCAACCAGTTGAGTCCTCTGTGACTGTGACTCTTTATACTCAACTGATTGGTTGAAACAAAACCTTGGTCTGGATTTGTACAAGCTGGACCTGAACTTTCCACCTGTCTGTAATGAATTCCTTTTGTGAGAACTTCCCCGGCACTGTGCACATAGCATGTTTTAACAACTCCACATCAGAAAGGCACTGGGAGTTACTTCACTGCTGCTGTTCACCCCTGGGGCAATGGGTTCCACTCCCGCATACACTGTTTGTAAGTAGTCATTCCCCCCATGTTGTCTGGGATCCCGCCCAGAGTCAAACGACTTACGGGCATTTGGATCGGTGTCTATAAAATGCCTGCTTTGTTTGCCCTGCACGGCATCTAGGGTGTCCCTGTGCTGCCTGGAAACGGCTCCAGCCCCCCTCGGACCCCCTCGTGGGTAAGTGGATGGAAATCAGAAGCCCAGGACAGACAAAGCCTTGATTCTGTAATAGTATTAGGAACCCAAAGCTCTCACCTGCGTCGGTATCCAAACATGAGGAAAAGCACACAGAAGATGATGCAGGCCAGGGCAATGTGGATGCCCACCACGATGCCCGCCATGGACCCCTCCCCATCCTGCCTGCAGTTACACACCTTCTCACCACCTGAGCCAACAGAGAGGCGATGGTTAAGCCACGGCACACGGCACATTGTGGGGACCAAATGTTCCCCACAAAGCAATAAAAACCTGTTATTCTGATCTGTGAATGCAATCAAAACAGTAAAAATGGCAAAAGTCTTGTATTTTGTTTGGTTATTTATGGTTACGGTTAGGGCTGGGTGGGGTTAAGGTTGCCATGTTGGGATTAGAGTTTTCCCCATAGAGACGAATGCAGAGTCCCCACAAAGATATAATGACAAGCATCACCAGCTGAGGTACACAGCAGCCACACTGACATCCCTGATCTAAGCAGGGAAGGAGAGGAGCACCGCAGGCAGCCTCAAACACACCGGCACTCTAATTTCAGCACAAAGCGACTTTCTGCTGCACTGTCAGCCCCCCCCCTCCACCCACCCTCCATAGCCTCCCCCATGACAGTTTGATCTGCAGAACAGCTACGCTTCACTTTCGTTACAGGCGACCCATTTTCCAGGTGTTGAGACTAACGGTACAGGGATCCCTCTGTTTCCAAAAGTCTATACCGAGGTGCTCCTCTAGAAATTCTCCCGGCCTGTATCGTGTCTGAGCTCCAAGCTTAGCCGAACTGCTTCAGCCGGCCAGTAAACCGGAAGCCACCATTACCTGGCCTGCTACAGCACTGCTAAATGCCATCTATTTTTTGCAGTACTGCCCCCCCGAGAAATTTCATTGTAAGCAATCTTTCAGCATTGGGTTGACCGGTGTTTTTTGGGGCGCTCTAAGTTTTTAGATCCATACCTCCACGGACATGACAGAATCCATCAGCACATGGACACTTACCCATGCTGGACTTGCCACTACTGCTGTCCCCGGCCATGGACACCAGCTGCGTGGTGTCACTGCTGTCCCCGTTTCCGTTGTATGCCACTAGTTTCATTTCGTATATGGCTGTAGGCTCTGGAAGACGTGTAAGATGTCATTGCAGTGACAGAATCCATAGCCCGCTGCTCAGTACAGGTGACACACCAATCCGAAGTGAGGACGGCTTTCCATGAGTCTGTCTCATCCCTGGTCCTTTCTTAGTAATATCAGTAGTGTGCATGACTTAATAAATAAAAATACTATCCCAATAAGAAGCATAATCCCAAATTGGCTTTCAAACTAATCCCATTAGGCCATTTTTGCTGTAAAATACCTACTTCATCACAAACACAGTGGTAAAGGGTTTGTATGTAAAAATGCAAATGGGCTGTAATATCTCACTTTCCCAGTTTTTCAGGAATGCGTTTAGTTTATCATCAGTGTGAATTGTAACATAGTGGATGCAGCCTTCAATCTGCCACCTCTTTTTGTATTATTCTGTATAAATAATGTAGGAATGTATAAATAACAGACCCATGTAAAGCGCCTTAGGGCCTCTCTGTTATGAAAGGCGCTATATAAAAATAAACTGAATTGAACTGAATTGAATCATCATCATCGTCATCGTTCCCTGGGGGCTGAGGGGTCGGATCGACGTGCCGTTTCTCACAGACCTAGCTGCCCGATGACGTGCGTGGTGACGTGGGCCGGCAACACGATGGGCTCCTGGAAGTCCGGCTCCGGGACCCTGCGGAGGGACAGTCTGAAGCCCTGCACTCTGCCTGGCTTTCCGGGCGGCTCCCAGAACACCTGCATGGCCGTACCATTCAGCACCTTGGTGAAGAAGCTGGGGGCGGGGGGCACTTTGGAGGGGAGAGACAGAACCATGTGGAAATAAGAGGAATGAGTGAGAGAGAGAGAGAGAGAGAGAGAGAGATGCAAAGAAAAGGGAGAGGGGAGGAGGAAGGGAGACAAAACGTGAATCAGTAAAACGGTTACGCATAATCAACGATAACGTATCTTTATTGTCACTTTCAGCTGTACGACCTTAACGATGTCAGTGATAAACAGAATGTACGATAACGCGCAAGACAGCGCAAAAAGCTGGCAGCTACTTACCTCAAAATATTCAGAGCTGTTACTGCAGCAGAATGGGGCTCTACCAAATACCAGTGTGCTGGGCCTGAATGCTTATGCAAGCAGCATTTTTCAGGGTTTTTTTTTTCAGATTTTCTTTAAAAGATTAGCTGACACATGATTGGTGTCGTCTTTGTACTATGAGAGACGATGTGTTTGCAAGAAAAAAAATACTGTGAGGAGGAAGATGTGTATGTATTATTCAGGCAAGTCTGACCATTTTCGGGGGGGGGTTCAATACTTTTGCAAGGGACTGTAAATATGAATGTAAAAGACATTTTAAAGTGACAATTTGACAATGTGAAGTTTTTAAATTGAAACAGTTTGATGAGTGCAGCATGAGAGGAAAACATTTTATGCTATATTTATACTATACTCTAGACATGAACAGAGCGGTGAGGCCTACCTCCACCCAGCGTGGTGGCGATGACCGTCTGGGACTGCTGGCTGGCTCCCAGAGGAGAGTAGGCCTTCAGGTAAATAGAGTAGGTGATGGCCGGCTCCAGGTTGCTGATGTCATGCTGAAACGTGGTCTTACTGACCGCTTCCTGCAGCTCGCTGGTGTCCGGCTCTGTCGGAGGAGCATGCAGCGTCAGCAAGTGGTGAAATAAAGGAGGACACTTAACGAGCCCCATCCCCCCCCCCACCACGCTCCCCCCGTCCTCACCGCCGAGCTTGCGGATGTGCAGCACATATCCAATGATGCCGTCTGTGACCTCCACCGCCGGCTGCGCCCAGCTGAGCTGCAGTGCCGTGGTGGAGAGGGCGGTGGCCACCAGGGCCCGGGGGGCCTCGGGTAGCTCGGTGGCCGGGGACACCGCCAGGCGGGCGCTGGCCTGGTTGGTGCCGGCGCCGTTCTCGGCGATGCACTGGTAGATGGCCTCATCCTCCGAGGTGATGCGCGTCACGGCCAGAGTGCTGCGGACGCAGGAAAAGGTGAGGGATGAACACGGTCCCTGTGCCATAACACCAACACACACCCACCTTATGCTGCACACTCACAACCGATATTCATACATGCGTATTTCATACATGTTCTATGCATGTATATTTAACATTGTAGTATACTTTTATTTTTTTCTTTATTTTTTTTATCTATGGTGGATATGTATGAATATGCTTATGCATTGTGCAATTTTTTTTACTTTCTCCTTCATTGCAGCATCCGGAGGAGCGAACAAACCAAGAGTTTCATTGCATTGGCACTGCACATATGAGCATACGTCGCTTGAATGCCAGTAAAGGGTATCTGGATTGTGAGAACCACTGCAACGCTGCCACCAGCTGGTGAAAGAGTCTGCACTAAAACAATAGCGTGACAAAGGGCATTAAACCTGCATCGAGATTTACTGTTACATTTCATTACCTCCAGGGCAAAGGAACAGAGTATTCTGTTCATACTGTATCTTTATTGCGACTCCTCAGTACGAAAATTCCAGTAATATGTGATATTGTTTTATAGCCTGTACAGACCTAAAGTGCTGGTTTGCAGTTTTGTTTGTCTAAATCACTGAAAATGTGTTTTATATTATATATAGGCGTCTAAATAGACCAGTGTTTCAGTCTTTTAGATGAAAACAGTGGGATAATGTTTAATGTTTTAGTGAAGAAAAAGCAGTTTGCGCAAGCAATTCAGTAAGTTTACCTGTTTCTGGCATTTTCATACATATCTATAAATGCAAGATAAAAATTTAACACACCTATTATTATTGGTGACTTTGACATTATCTTTTGGGGTGAGGATCTTGCCGTTCTTCAGCCAGATCAGGTGAGGGTCCGGGACCCCCTGAGCCAGACAAGTGAACACTGCACTGCCTCCTGCTGGCTTGGAAACAGACTGCGGCCATTGCAGAAACTCAGGTGGAGCTGGGTAGGATCATAAACAGCAATAGAAACAAACTGGTTATTACATGTAAAAAAAAAAAAAAAACAATACCCCAATGGATTTATAAAGCTTAAATGCTCTGGCGATGCACATTTGTCATGTTTATAAGGCATTCTGCAGCTGAATTTAAATGAGAGTTGCTTGCAGTTAACAAACATGCCCACAGGTGGCAGCACATACCTTTCAGTGATGAGTAATATAGCTACACGAAGTGTGGCATCACTGATATTGCATAGAGCAGGTACTGCATTTGCCATTAGAAGCACATTTATCGGTATGCACAATAAGCCAGAGAGATGGACAGCAAGATCAGAGGTGCAGTGCATGGTCACCCGCCCCAGTAACAGCAGCCCTCAGCCCACAGTCTGCAGCCAGCTTTTGTCTGTTTCAAGTGGACACTCATATTCTGATATTTCTGATTTTTCTGCATACAGAAGATCATAGCAGGGCTGAATCTGACTGCTTCCATATTTGTCAAACATCATGTTATTCGAGGTTTCTGTGCAAATGCTTTATCTGTGAAGGGATCGAAGCCCAAAGCCGGACAGGCAGATGTAAAGTCCCCGGTCACTGGCAGAGAAGCGCGAGCCCCAGGTGGCACCTGGAGGAAGACGAGCGAGGGACCGGAGCAGAGTAGCACTTCCCACTCGACGCAGGGGACAGATGTGGGTTCAGCACTTGGCCCAGTACCCGGTCCAATAACAACACAATGGCCGTGTACATACGCGAGACCTGGAGCCACGGCCCTTTGCATCTCATTGATCTATTGCCATCCCTCCCCCCACTATAATAGCTTTCTCTTGGGCCTATTGTGAGGATGCTGGGAAGAGGGTCCTAGTGGAAGGGGGAGGGGAGGTTTGCTTCAATGGGGAGCCATTAATCAATCATGGGATGAATTTTATTCCTCTCCGCTTTCACCCCCAGGGCCCAGCCTCCCCTTTCTTTCTCAGATGAAAAAAAAATACATTATTCATTAGAGCAGTCCGTAAAATTCGCAAAAGTCGAACTTTAAAGAAAGTTTTTTTTTTGTCATCACTCGTTTCAACACTGTTAACCTTCAAATTCCGTGATACCAATTGCGCAATTTTTTTTTACTATACATATGTTGCAATTTTTATATAGGTGATGCGATTTTGATTCGTATTGAAACGGCTCCAGGGAAAGACATCAAACATCAAATTTATATTTAGAAGCTCGTGCTTTTCTCACCACGCTGTATGTTGCACTTAAGAATTCAGTTAAATGGTGTCAAAAATGTAAACAACTTTTTAATGAAATCAAGTTACACCAGTTTACTGATGTAACACAGGGTTACATCAGTAAACATCTCAGTTTTGGTACAGATGGAGTCACCCTGGTAAATGATGATATTTCACTGTCAGCAATGGAAATGCCACCATAGCAAAACTTCTGAAAATGTGTATTTTAACCTGAGGTTTAATGATATGAAGGTTGTAGCCTTGAAATCCTTCAAGGGTCCAGCTAAGAGAATTCTCTCAACTACAGCCCCCACTTTTAAAACAAAACATGGTTGTTTAACCACTTCAGGACGAATTGAGTTTCCTTAAAGGAGCCATAAAGACTTTCTAACACCACGAGGAAGATGATGACAGAAGAAGAAACTTTAAACAATTACAATTTTATCACAGAGAGAAAAAAACAGTTTGATATTAAATGACATAAACCAGTCTATAAAAACAGGTTGCCTTAGATCTGCAACACATTTCAGTAAAGGTAGTTTTGCCCAATGGGAACAGTGCAGGATTCCTGCCTCGATATTTGGTCTCTGTTTACTAACTGAAAGTGCAACAGCACACCTCCAGAGACCCAGGGACAAGCAGGGTTAGGCTGAGGGCTGCTAGTTTCCCCACAAGCAGAAGATAGATTCAGCTGATTGTGAGGCTGAATGCAGAACTCTCTGGGACTCTATAGAGCCTCTGAATTAGAGTCTGAAGAAAGGGGGGGGGATGTCAGAGCCAGGGGTGAGGGGGTGTCGGGACGGGCCTGTGTAATGAATCTAGCCAGTAAGACACGCTTCCATCCCCTCGAGAGCACTTCACACTTGAACTTTACTGGAATCGTTTATCTGTGAGTTGGCCATCCCGTCCAAAACAGTCAGACCAATGAGGGTCAGATGTGCCGAACCTGGGCAGCTTTGGTTTATCTCTCTAATTCTCTCTATGACGCACTCTGTCCATCATCGAGGCACCAGATTATTGTTCATCCGTACCAGACTTTGAAGACTGACTCGCCTGTGTTCCTGGACGCTCGGATCACACTGTGCTGCCTGGGACAGGCTGCAGGCCCCCCCCCCGAAACTGTGACCAGAATGAAGGTTTATGGATGGATGTTCAGGATGACGTCCATTCAATAGTGCCGCCGTAACGTTCAATTAAAACCAGCAGAGAACAACACACCCAAGCAACAGACCCCCTGAAGTTGAACGTCTCTTTGGAGAAGATCATACGGCCCGACTCTCTCCGCTCACAAAGCTCCTCGTTCCTTTGTATCCTGTGCTCTCTCAGCGTCTGATGACCCTGAACTTGACAGTCGCTCAGTTCTATCCCTGAACATTGACTGCCAGCTGAGAGATACAGACCCGAGAGGGGTATGATGAGGTGAAGACCATCACCTCGCCGCCTGCAGCCATCAATCTTCTACACAGGCCTCGCTGAAGCAAACCTTTCCAGCCTGACCCCCCCCCCCCCCCCCCCCCCCCCCCCCCCCGCCACACCTCCCAATCACAACTCTTCCCCGGATCGTCACAGCCCCACCACCCACCAAAGCTGTTTCCCTCTGCCTTGTGGGAAAGAAGGGTGGAGGTCAGAGGTCAGGGGTGATCCTTCACTCTGACACAATTACCCCCACCACCCCCCCGTTCTCTGTTCCGTGCTTTCTCTTTCTCTCTCTCTTTTCCTTAGTCCCTCAGACGGCCACCTATTGTCCCCATGCTACATCTGTCCCAGCAGTCTCGCTCTCAACCTGCCTGTAGGATGGCATTCAATATCCCCTATGACCGTGACCACAGGACCCAGACCAGACCGGGGACAGGGGGTGTGGCAGCGTCTAGGAGGCTGAAAGGACAGACCAGATCGCCTTGGGGGGGTGGAAATACATAAACAGGCCCGGGCCAGACAGACCTTAAACTTGAATTTGCAAGACAGCCAGCATAAGGCAAAGGCTGTCCAAGTTCACAGTGTTTCCTGAGTTAGCAGGCAGATGGCGTACATATAGAAAATGACCTACACTCACACACAGAAAACACTAATAAATATGTGTCCTAAGTAATAAAGACCGCTCACCCAAACCAGGAGATAAAATATACCTTATTTACACGACCATATCGCATTTCTTATTTTTATCAAATAATACCAAGTTGGGTATATCATACATATATACATATAGTTTTGTGAATGGTTAGTCAATTACACATTACTCTGTAAAAGTTTTAGGCAGTCAAAGGAAATGATCTTCATGTTGGTGGAAAATTATGATGTTTGTCAAAATGTGTTAGTTTAATCAATATCTAAACCTCTCCTAAAGTCAACCCAATGATATGTACAAACCATGCAATACAGCCATGAATTTTTTGATTGAACCACTAGTGCACCATGTTCAGCTAATCAATATCCCACCAAGTCATTTAACTAATTAAGTTAATTAATTAATTGAGCAGGTGGTGAATTGTAACAAATACATGGAATGTCCCTGAGGAGAGGTTTGGGAACTGAAGCGGTGTTCATTTAGCCATCCAGCGAGATTATGTTTGAAGAATGAAGGAAATTATTCTTAGTTTTTATTGTTTTACTGTTACTTTGGACATATTCTAATGTTGTAGTTTTTCTAGGCAAATATATACATAGCACCCAGATAAATAGCTTTAAACATTTTCTTTGACTGCCAAAGATTTTTGAAAAGCACTATATTCAAGTACTAAAAACAGTTTTTTTTACTGCGGGACAACTGAAATATATCTGCAGTGAAGGTGAAACACAGAAGCGCAGAGACGAGGAAAAGCAAAGAGGAGAGAATACAAAGATCTGAGCCTGGAACAAGGAGTGAGGTACGATTCAGACGTATTGATGTCCATTCAGGATGCATGGAGAAGCATGTAAGACCTTAAGGTCCGAGAAACGCTCTGGATGAAAAGCTAAGGGCCTTTGTTCCTTTTTTGCCCAAATCAATAAATTAATGAATATATTAGACACCGACACTCCTTTGTGGAGGATTGATAAAGGGCACTATCGATTGTTTGGGTCAAGGAGCAGCCAGTGGCCAGAGGAAGACACAAAGCGACTGAAACTCGCCTGTTTTTTTTTTCCATGCAGTTGATAAAAATGTTGAAAGAGACAGAATTGCAAATGTACCCTTACACTGTAAATTCACATAGTAGCAAACAAGTCTGCGGTATGTGCATGTACTAATGTCTATAAATACGCTGCTTTACCTGGCTGTCAACAGCAGTCCATAATTACCAGCAAAACACACATCCGCCGTGATGTATGGATGCGGCGCATGTCCGCCTGTATGCCGAGGGACCCTGTCAGTCTGCAGACATGTGACATGGGGGTGCAGCTGGGGCAGCTGGAGACGCATCCATGCGTCAGCTTCATTACGAAAACCGTCAGGTCAAAGGGCAGCGGCTGAGCCCCGTCCCACTCGTCCCTAAGGTCACGGCCGTATCCAGGGCTGGTTAATATAGTCTGGCCTGTCCCCTCCCCCTGTGCTCATTAATTCGTCCCCACCCCCACAACCATGACCTTCTGTCTCTGCTGAGTACTGCTGCGGTGGATGGAAGAGGGAGCCCATTCAGAGCGACCACACAGGGGTTCGCGTTACGGCTTGGAGGATCAGGCCAAGATGAGGAAACCTAGAGCAGACTGGTTACCCTCAACTGAAAGGACCTTCAGTTGGAACAGGATCATCAGTTAACGGGCCAGTTCACCTCAAACCCAAAGATATGTTCTAGAGGGGCTTGAGTGCTATCTATACATCTAGGTTGTTCTGCTGGAAGATGCCTAGTTTTGGAGATACTGGCCATAAAAATGTCAGGATGATAATGCGACTGAATGGCATTCTTCCTGTGCCAAAAAAAATACATGAGAAAAATTCAACAGCAGTGTCTCTTACGAGAAATCATGACCTGGTTACGAAAAATAATCCACATTCCTACGGCCGATATCCTCAAAACTCCTAGTAGAACAACCTAGATGTATAGATACCACTAAAGCCCCTCAAAACATCTTTTTGTCAGTTTTGGGGTGAACTGTCCCTTTAACAGTCAACTTTGAGAGTTCATTTGATGGTTGACCCAGACGTTAATGTAGTTTGGGCCTGTCATCGGAAGGTTGCTGGTTCAAGTCCCGTTTTCAGCAGAATAGGCATATCTCCGTGGGGCCCTTGAGCAAAGTCCTTAACTGGATAAACTGCTGACCCTGCACTTGAACCCCAAGCATTGCTCTCAGCTGTGTATATATGCAGTATATATATATATACTGTATGTGTGTGTGTGTGTGTGTGTGTGTGTGTGTGTGTGAGCTGTCTCAAAGGAGAGATGGGATATGTGAAATGAAGCATCCCAATGTACCTGTACTTGTGCAAATAAATCATTATCATCATTCCGCTTCACCATGGGGGGCTCACCTTGCACGACCAGCCTGCCCAAGGCGGTACGCCTCATCCTCGTGCCCGGCCGGTTGGCGGAGCACACGTAGACCCCCGAGTGCTGCAGCGACACGTCGGAGATCATCAGGTTGCCTGTTCCCAGCACCTGGATGCCCTCCACTCCAATGGACCGGCCGTCTGTGGGGAAATCGCGCAGGGGGGGGGGGAGACTTCGGAGTCAGGCCAGGGCCACCAGTCACAGCAGGAACCACTGAGCAGCACCTCATGTTTACAGCTGGGCTTCATCAGTCTCATCGTACTCAACATGTGTGTCATGTGAGCTGAAGCAGAACGAGCAGCAGTGTTGTTGGTCTGTGTTAGTATGTACAGCACCATGAAAAGGTCTCAGGCAGTCCAAGAAAATCATGTTCAAATGATCTTCATGTTGGTGTAAAACTACAACATTATCTCTCTGTGGCCATTTCAAAACCTTGTAATGTCACCCCAAGATTTGGAGCAACCATCCATTTTTCCAGGCATTTGTTGACTCAAACACTAGCCTGTCTGGCTAATCAATACAGAATCCATCCATCCATTTTCCAACCTGCTTATCCTACTGGGTCGTGGGGGGTCTGGAGCCTATCCCTGAAGCAATGGGCATGAGGTAGGGAACAACCCTGGATGGGGGGCCAGCCCATAACAGGGCACACACACACCATTCACTCACACAAGCACACCTATGGGCAATTGAGTAACTCCATTTAGCCTCAGCATGTCTTTGGACTGTGGGGGGAAACTGGAATACCCAGAGGAAACCCCACGATGACACGGGGAGAACATGCAAACTCCACACACATGTAACCCAGGCAGAGACTTGAACGCAGGTCCCAGAGGTAACCACTGCACCACCATGCCGCCCCCTCAATACAGAATCATTTTATTAATTAATTAATTGAGCTGGTGGTTAAATTTAACGAATACATGGAATGATTTGGGTGCCCCTGAGGAGAGGTTTGGGAACCAAAGTTCTTCTAGCCATCTAATGAGATATCGGGAACTCTTTGGGGAACACAAGAAATTTTTGTTGTCTTTAACATTGTTACTGTTTATCTTCATATATTCTATTGTTAAATAGTTTATTTCACTGACAACGTAAGACTTTTTGCACAGTCCTGCATGTGTTTCGCCGTTGTTGCCATGAGAAGTGACCCTATAGGTGAGCAGCGAGTCTCACCGAGTCGACTCCAGGACACTATGGGCCGCGGGTTCCCCGTGGCGATGCACTCCAGGATGGCTGTCTGGTGCACCGTCAAGGTCAGGTTCTGGGGGCCCGACAGGATCACCGGTTCCTTGTACAGCCGAGGAGCAGCGACTTCAGGAGGGCAGGGAGGAGGAGGGAGCGAGAGATGAAGAGTGAGCGAGGAGGCTCCAGAGACTGCCAAAGCGTGACGCTTTAACACTCTCACTCTGATGACACAGAGTTCTCTGTTTCAGTTCTCGTTAACGATAAAGACCCGGGCGTGCGACAGTGCGCGGGCTGGACAGGACGCCCACCGGTGACTTGGAGCTGGGCCTCCAGGCTGTAGCGGGTGTTGGCGATGTTGGAGGCCATGCAGCGGTACACCCCGCTGTCCTCACGCCTCACACCCGAGATCTGCAGGATGCCGATGGGGAGCAGGGTGTACCTGGGGGGGGGGGACGTGTCAGCACTGCGAAGAGGACACAGGAGCATCGCGGGCCACGGGGAGGGACAGCAGTGGGAACCCTGTGTGTATGTCCAGATATACCTTACCTTGTGGGGACCAAATGTCCCCACAACACGATGAAAACCCATTTACTTGGCCTTATGGGAAAACTCAACTGTCTAAAAATCTGTGACTGCGATCAAAAATGCAAAAATTCTTGTATTTTGTTTGGTTAGGGTTGGGTAGGGGTAAAAGTTGTCATGGTTAGGATTAGCATTTGTCCCATAGAAATGAATGAGCGGTCCCCACAAAGATATGACTACAGGTCTGTGTGTGTGTGTGTGTGTTACCTGCTATTCCCAGTGCTGATGGCGGTCCTGTTCCTCTCCCAGGTGATATTGGCCTCCGGGATCCCGTTCACCTGGCAGTGGAACCGCGCCACTCCGCCCTGCTCCACCGTCATTGACTCTGGGTGCAGGTGGAACTTGGGAAGAGCTGCCACAGGAGAGACGACCCTGAGAAACTGCCCCCCGGTGTGTCTTCAGCGCCATTTTACCACAGTCAGACCTTTGTTCCCCATCTCCCACTCAGGTAACGATACCGATCCCGCCCCTCCAGGATTTCAGTAAACCTATCAGCATAGCCAACAGCAACACAATTTTTTCCCCTCTGAATCGATACGTGTGTTGTTCATGGTGCAGGTCGTCTTCAAATTAAAGTGCGTCGCCATGGTAACCGCTTGCCCAGAGGAAGAAGCACCATCCAACCTAGTGACAGCCACATTTCTGTGGAAACCCCCTTAACCCCCACTGGTTTTATTTGGCTAAAGGGGGTCTAGGGTGAATGGGTGAGGGAAAAGGTCACTTATTCCTGCAAATGGGACTGAGAATGTTATTGAACGTGCTTCTCCCCACGTTTTGAGCCAGTAAGGTGAAGATGGGGCAAAGGATATAGAAAATGACACCAAAAGAACCTGAGATGTTTCTACTTTCTTGTCCCAGTACTTCACCCTTTCAAATATTTCAAATATTCATGAACATGCAAATTGAAACTTTCTTAAATGTTTCTGTATGTGCTGCATAGTTAAATTAAGTCAGCTTCAGGAAGGAATCTTACAAAGGAGCCCCCAGATGTTTTAACTCCCGTGCATAATTTTACATAATTTTACAAGCCAGTGGGAAGTTAAAACCACAAGCGTTTGGCCAGTGTTAGCAAAAGTGCTCAGTTGGAAACAGAGGAGTGTAAAATGACAGGATAAACCCACAGGAAGAGTGTAATCATCTAGAGGAGTGTTTGAATGTTTGGACCGACAGAGTCCAGTGCCAGTGCCACTGCACTCACATGCCAGCTGAACCCGAGCTTTGCGGCTGACCAGCATCCCGTAGCGGTTCTGTGCCGCGCAGTCGTATTCGCCGGCGTCGGTGTCGTCGCTCTCCCGCCGCTTCTGGAAGTTCTTAATCAGAAGCGTCCCATTGGCCAGCACAATGGCCCTCTCCCCCGTCGGCACGGGTACCCCGTTACGCCGCCATGTCACAGAGGTTGGCCCTTCACCCTCCACCTGGCAGTGCAGCATCAGGGGCCGGTCCCGCACTGCGATGACGTCACTGGGCTCCGTGAGGAAAGCCAGCTCTGAGGTCTCAGCCACGCCTGCGGCACAACAGTTTCATGATCAGCCTCGGATCCAATGAGATTGCGTTACACAAAATCGTATCGATAACATATAGATATAATGTATCTGTCGAAAAAGACGATTGGCCACTGGCAGCTCGATCATGGCTGAAAACGTCAAATCAGCATTACGAAGGAAGCAGTTTGAGGCTGTCTACATGTCATGCCAGGACATCTCGAGGTTTGCATGAAGCTCTTTGTCAGGGTTTTAATTGACTGAAGTTCACAAGGGTTGGTTTTAAAACAAACGGTTTGACTGTCTTGATGTAGCATCTCCGGACCAAGGTCCATCAACGCGCCAGTGGTCGAGTGGAGGACATCATCTGTGCTGCACTCTTTGTGGCTGACCAGAGGAGCATTTTGCGTCATTATGTGGTAAATTTGCTAGGACATTTCTCAAAGGTTTGCCACCAACCAATGTTATCAACAGAAGCGATTCCAGGACATCACACCATCTCCAAGACTGTCATCACCTCATGTCATGTGCTCGCCGCAAAATATCACACCATGATAACGAAGACCAGTTACAAAGATATGTGGAGGGGAGCTGTCCGCTCAGGAGGCATCATTTGACAAGATTTTCCCACAAAGCCTTCAGCTCCATAATGGGAAGCCGGCGATGAAAGCCATAATGAGATTAACTCAAAATAAAAATGTGCGGCATTCTCGCGGAAAGTCGGTAACATCGGCACTTCTTCCTTTGACGATGAAAGCAATATGTGCTGCCCTTCAGTTCTTTGAACACGCATGTATACAGTGCATTATCTGTTATTATAAACGTTAAGCTTTGAAGTCAAATTCTGTCTTTGATGCGGTTATACACCCCGTAGAGAGGAAGAGGAAACTTCTGAAACAGAATAAATTACGCTTTAATACTTGTTATGTTTCATTTCTGAAATATGACTTTGTCAGCCTGAAAATTATTTATCGCCACGGTCATTACGGCCAACACAATGCTAATGACAATGGAATAAAGGAAAATTAATAGCATACACAAAGGCGGCCTTCTCTCCCCGTGTCTCTGGGTTTACATCTCCGTTACGGCCTGGGTTTTGGCTCAACCTGCCGCTCATTTGCTTGATAGAGCCTTAATTACAGCTGGAAATCAGTCATGTTCACTTGGGATGAAGAGGACCAGGGGCGGCTGCTCACACAGGCCCGGCGGCTCTGCAGCGCCACTTAAAAGCCCATGAAGGGCTGGCTGAATGGGACCGGGGAGAGATGCGTGACTCCCTAACTCATCCCCACAAAGCAGGCCCCTGAAAAGTGAGACTCGCCTTTCCCTGCAAAATGGGCTCACCGCTGCGTTCACTGGTAACAGCTCCGCTCTTGGGGGAACAGAGACTCAGCCCATACTGGGGTGGGGGGCAGGCAGGAGACAACAGCACAGAAGGGGGCCTCAAAACAGATGCGTGCAGTTGGGAGGGGAGGACAGAGGGCTGTTTGCATAAATTTTTCAGGGGTGAACTTGCACTTGACACCATTCCCCCGGCTGACTGATAGCTCTGTTAGTGTTGCCCTCGTCCTCCGCGAGATCTACAGCGCCCCCCCCCGCTTCATCTCCCAACCTCTTTACAATGGGGGTGGGGGGGCAGATGCCATGGAGCCATTGAGCCAGAGAGGCCTCCACAATGACTAGGCTGGGGAAGAGGAGACCGAGGACTGGGGGGTCAAGTTAAGATGACTTCTATTGAGATGAGTTTGGGGGGGTTGCAGTCTACTGATGGCACGCCACCCCCCCCCCCCCCNGCTGTGACCTTACGCTGTGACCTTACGCTGTGACCTTACCAGCTATGTGTCCTCTGTCACACACCGGGAAGTGACACTCTAAAGGGGTGATTCGGGCACAGTGATGGTTTTAGATACCTAGAATATGGGTTAAAAATACCTACTATAGGACAGGCGTAGCTTGTTTTTGGTGCATCAGGGACAAATGACTAGACTGTTTGGGAAGGATCATGTCACAACTTTAACTCCATCACAGCTACAGCAGACTCAACCAGAAGTTTTCATTCAGGCTTAGATGTTTTCATTTATTTACAGCAGGACCGACGTTTTCACAACACATGTATTTTCCAATTGCTGCCCCCCCCCAGGCCTCTGACGTATCTTTAGACTCTTGTGCTCCGGGTGTGATTGAGCGTGCGACCGTGGGGATGAATTCGCCCCCCATCTGGGTGTGAATAATGAGGAAAGGGGTTCAGGGCAGTATCCCGAACAGTGGGACCCTCCCCGCCCCACCTCTCCCCCCCCCCCCCCCCAACCCCCCCCCCCCCCCCCCCACGACCCATCCCACTGCCAGACACACCCGCGCCCCCCCGCCCCATTCTCCTTACCAGTTGAGGGGGGGCAGAGACTGCAGATTCACCCTAGTCCGTGAGTCACGGCTATGACCCCTCTAATGTCCATCGCCCCTCCCACAGCTGTTATGGAAATAATCTGGGCCTGAGGAATCGAAAGTTGCACTTGAACTTGCGCAATGAGATGTGAAATTGGGGGGCTTTTTCCACCTTCTGCCAGTCCTGCCTTCTGAACCCAGCAGTCCCAGCCCCCCAACCCCCTCCCCCAACTCAGAAAATCAAAAAAAAAAAAAATCATAATAATTCAGCCAAACAGCACTCTGCTCTCACACATGAAATCGATAGAGCTTCAGATGATCAGCCTCCACTGCTGGTTCCCTGGTTTTCCATCCACACCTCGCATCGTCAGTCCTCTTCAGTGAACCCGGAGCCCTGTCATCACCTGGTCCAGACAGCTGTCTGCCAGACATCCCAATTACCGCTCTTATACTTGATTTTGCACGTATCCTCCTGAAAACCAGCAATTCGTTTTTGTCCACTGCATAGGCCATTATGTTTTTTTCTCATATATCTCCAACTACATGTGCCACTCTATAAACTCCTGTTGTTTCTTAAAGAGGACAGTTAGGGCTTTAAGATGACAGTACATATGGGAGGATGGGGGGGGCGCTTTTTACCATCCCAACCTCTGGAGGACATAAGTGCATGGTTTTTCCCCACAGCAAAGGGGGAGTGGCATGCTGAACTGGACATTTTACTGGCTGGGTAAGAAGCAGGACAGGACACCTCACGTTAAAGAAGACAAAACTGTTAAATAAATTTGAACTCGCTTTGATTTTTTTTCCCCAACCACAAAATCGACTACAAATCTATGTAGCTCCAGATTTCCAGCAAGAGAACTTTTTCACAGAACATCCTCACCAAATTTTTCTAGTAAGATATTTCAGGGTATGATAAATTTACAGGGCATTTTGAGCGATCAAATACTATTATACTTGAGCTACACGCTAAATCGCTGCTCTTTGCAAAGTCACACACTGTGGGCTGTATTCTGATGGCGCTCCAGTCTGCCGAGGTGTTAATGAGGTCGTCCCAAGCAAGACCTTCATCACACGGCACATGCTGTGACCTTACGCTGTGACCTTACGCTGTGACCTTACGCTGTGACCTTACG